CCCCCCAAACACCCAAAACCCCAACCACCAACCACTAACTAAACACTCACAACCACCAAACAACCAAACACCCCAACACCCCCCACCCCCACCACCCACACACCCCACAACCCCAATCCCCCCCCAAAACACACCAAAAACAACCCCCCCACCACCACCAACCTTCACATACACCCCCACCACAACCAAACCCACACCACCCACAAAACCCCCCAACCCCCCCAAACTAACAATACCCCCCCAAACTTCCCCCTTACCATACCTCCCCCAAACCTCCCAATCCCAACATTTCCCTCCTATATCCCATATTTAACCAACTTCCATCCAATCCATAATTTCATTCTTTATCATTATTCTCCCCTCCTTTCCCCATAACCCCCCACATCCCCCCCACCCCAACAACCCAAAACTTTTCCTTCCCCCCCCCACTTTTCACCCCTCAACTCCCCCTTACCTCCCTCCATATTATTTTTCACCCTCTCATCCCACCCACCCCCCCCTCCACCACCACCCCCCACACCTCCCCCCCCACCCACACCCACAACAACCCCCCACCCCATCCCCAACCACCCCCCCCCCCCCAACCACAACCACCCCACAAAACCCAACACAACCCCCCCCCCCCCACCCCCAAACAACCAACCAACAATTCCACAACAACCCCCCAACCCACAACACCACACCCCCAACACACCTTCCCACAACACACAACACCCCCACAACATCCAAAAACCACCTTCCCCCCCCCACATACCCCCCCAAACACACAACCAAACACCCCCACCACACCCCCCCCCCCCCAAACAAACCCCCACCCACCCCCAAACTCCACCCCCCCCCCCCACCACCCCCAAACCAAAACCCCCACACCCAACCCACACCCAACAAAAACCCCACAACACCATCCCCCCAAACACACCCCCACCCCCCCACCCACCACCCAACACCCACAACCACCAACCACCCAAAACCAACACAACACCACCACCCCACCCCACCAACCCAACCAAACCACACACACAAAACAACAACTACAACACCAACCCACCACCCATCCCAACCAACACACCCCATCCCCCCACCACCCCCACCCCCACACCCAACCCCCCCCCCCCCCCCCCCCAACCCCCCATCCAAACAACAACCAAACCACCAAAAACCCACCCCACACCCCCAACCCCCCCCCCACACCACACCACAAAACACAACCAAAAACCCCAATCCCCAACCCCCCCTAAACAAACACAAACACTCACCTAAAAAACTCAAACAACAAATACAAAAAAAACACAAAAAAAAAAACCACAAAAACACACCAACACAAAACCAAAACCCCCACACCCCCCCCCACCCCCCAACACCCCCCCCCCCCCCAACCCCCCCACAAACCCACCCCCCCCCACCCCCCCCACACCCCCCACCCAACAAACCCCCACACACCAACACCCCACCCCCCAAACAACCCCCCCCCCCCCCCACCCCCCACCACCACAACCACCACCCCCACCACCACCACCCAAACCCCAACACCCACCCCCAAACACCCCCACACCCCCCCCCACCACCCCCAACCCCCCCCCCCAAACCACCCCCACCCCACCCACAACCCCCCCACACCCCCAACCCACCCCAAACACCAACCAAAACCCAACACCCAACCCACCCACAAACACCCCCCCAAACACCCCCAACCAACCACCCAAAACACAAAAAACCCCACACACACAACACACACAACAAACCACACACAACAACACACCACACACACACACAACACACAACACACCACAACACACACAACACCAACACACCACACACACCCACACACAACCAACACACCACACAACAACACAACAACCCACACAACACCAACACAACCCACAACACACACACACACAACACACACCCACACACACCCACAAAACCCGCACACACCAACACACACCCCCACAACAAACCACACAACACCACACCCCACACCACACACACCCACACACACACACACCACACACACACACCACACACCCCACCAACAAACACACAACACCACACACACACCACACACAACCCCACACCCACCACACAACACACCACAAAACACACACACCAAAACACCACAACCCCCCCCCCAACCCCCCCCACCCAACCACACCTCCCACCCACACACACCAACCACACCACACCCCCACACACCCACAACACCCACACCACCACCACAACCCAAACACCACAACCCACACCACCAAAACCCCAACACCCCCCCCCCCACCAACCCCCCCCACACACACCCCACCCACCCCCCCAACACAACCCCCACCAACCACCCCCCACCCAACCAACCCCCACCCCCCCCCAACCCCCCAACACACAAACCCCCAAACCCATACAACAAATCCAACACAAAACACACCAACCACACACCACCAACTCAAAAAACCACCAAACCACAACACCACCCCAAACCACAAAAACACCCAACCAAACACCCACCAACACAACACCACCCAACCACAACAACACCCAACAACACCACCCACACACAAACCACCAACCACAAACACCACCAACACACACACCAACCAAACCCACAACACCACCAACCAACACACCAACCACAAAACCACAACCACACACCACCAACCACAAAACCACCAACACAACACCACCCCCCACCAAACAAACAACACCAACCAACACCCACCAACCACAACCCACACACCACCACAACCACAACACCCCCCCAACCCCCCACCCCCCCCCCCCCCACCACCCCCCCTCCACCCCCCCCCCCCCCCACCCACCCACCCCCCCCCCCCACCCACCAACCACACCCCCCACCCAACCCCCCCACCCCCCCCCCCCACCCACCCCCCCCACCCCCCCCCCCACACCCCCCCAACCCACCCCCCACAAAAACAAACCCACCCCCCACCAAAAACACACCAACCCACACCCCCAACTAAAAAAAAAACACCACCCCACCCACCCATCCCCCCCCCCTACCCCCCACACACCCCACCAAACCCACCACCACCAACCAACACCCCCCACACACCCACACACACCCAAACACCCCACCCACACACAACCACCACCACCCCACACCCCCACCCAAACAAACACCCACCACCAAACCCCCCCCCCCCACAAACAAACCAAACCCCCCCCCCCCCCCCAACAAACCCACCACACCCCCCCCCAACCCACCACCCAACAAACACCCAACACACCACACCCCCCCCCCACCCCCAACCCAACCCCCCCCCCCCCCCCCCACCCCCCCCCACCCCACAATCACACCCCACCCACCCCCCACCCCACAACCCCCCACCCCCCCACACACACACACCCCACCCCCCCCACCCCCACCCCCCACACCCCACCCACACCACCAAACACCCCAACCCCCCCCCCCCCCCCCCCCCCCCCCCCACAACCCCCCCCCACCACCCCCCCACCAACACACCACACCCCCCCAACACAACCCCCCCCCCCCCCCCCCCCCCCCCCCCCCCCCCCCCCCCAAACAAAAAAACAACCACCCCCACAACCACCCCACACCACCCCCCCCCCCCCCACCCCCACCCACACCAACCCCACCCAACACCCACCCCCAAACCCCCCCCACCCCCCCCCCCCCCCCCCTCCCACCCCCCCCCCCACAAACCCCAACACCAACAACCCACCCCCACCAACCCCCCCCCCCCCCCCCCCCCCCCCCACCCCACCAAAAACACCCCCACCACAACCCCCCCCACCCCCAAACCACCCCCACCAACCCACACACCCCCACCACCCCCACCACCCCCACCACCACACCCCCACCACCACACAACCCCCACCAACCCCCCCACCACACCACCCACACAAACCACCCCAAACACACCCACACCCCAACCCCCCCAACACACACCAACCACAACACCACCCCCCAAACCCCCAACCCCCCCCACCCCCCCCACCCCCCCCCCCAAACCACACACCCCCCCCCACCCAACCAACCCCCCACCCACCCACCACAAACCCCCCCCCCCCACCCCCCAACACCACACCACCACCCACCCCCACAACACCCCCAACAACCCACACCCCCCCACAAAAAAACCAACACACCCAACACCACACACAACACCCCCCCCCCCCACCCCACCCACAACCCCCACCCACCCCCAACCCCCACCCCAACACCCCCCACCAACACACCCAACAACCACAAACCCCCCCCCCACCCCCCCAACCCCACACACCAACCCCCCCCCCCCCCCCCAACACCCACACACACACAACCCACCCACCCCCAACCACCCCCCCCCCAAACCCAACCCCACACCCCCCACACACCCAAACCCAAACACCCCCAAACCCCCACCCACACCACCCACCCAAAACAAAAAAAACCCAACACCCACACACCACACCCCCCCCCCCCCAACAACCAAACCCCACACATCCCCACAAAAACCCCCCCCCACCCCCCCCCCCCCCCACCCACCACCACCACACAACCCCCCCCCCCACCCACCCCCCCCCCCAAACCACACCCACCCCCCCCCACCCCAACCAACACCCCACCCCACCCCCCCCCCCCCACAAACCCCCCCCCCCCCCCCAACACACCACCCACACAATCACAACCAACACCCTACCACCCACACCCCCCCCCACACCAACCAAAACACCACCCCAACCCCCCCCCACACACCACCCCCCTACCACAACCACACAACCACCACCCTCCCCCCACACACCACCCACCCCCACCAACCCCCCCCACCCACCAAAACACCCCCCCCAACAACACAAAACCCAAACCCCACCACCCCCCCACCCCCACCAACCCAACCCCCCCACACCTAAAATAAACCCCTCCCCACCCCAACCCCCCCCCCCCATAACCTAACATACTAACCACCCTCTATCACCACTTACACAAATCCCCATCACACATCACCCCCCTCACCCAACACCCAATCAACAACTCCTCCCACACTACTAATAAACTAAAAACCCCCCAACCACCCCACACAACCACACCCCCCCCCCCCCCCCCCCCCCCCCCCCCCCACAACCCCCCCACACCCAACCACCCCCCCACCAAACCCCCCCCAACCCCCCCAACCCCCCCCCCCCCCACCCCAACCAAAACACACCCCCACCCAACCCCCAACCCCCCCCCACCCACACCCACAAAAACCCCCCCAAACCCACCCCAACACCCCCCCCCACCCACCCCAACCCCCAACCCCCCCACCCCACCCCCAACCACACCAACACCCACCCAAAAACCCCCCCCAACCCCCACACCCACCACACCCCCCCCCACCCCCCAACCCCCCCCCCCCACCCAACCCACACCCCACCACCACCCACCCCCCCCCCCCCCCCCCCCCCCCCCCCCACCCCCCACACCCACAACACCCAACACCCAAAACCCCCCCCCACCCAACAAACCCCCCCCCCCCCCCCCCCACCCCCCCAAACAAAACCACACCCAACACACCACACACCCACCCAACCAACCCACCCCCAACAACACCAACCCCCCCCCCCCCCCCAACCCCAAAAACAAACCACCAACCCCCACACCACCCCAAAACCCAACCACACACACCAACACCCCCCCACCCCACACCCCACACCACCACCCCACCACAACCCAACACCCACCCACAACCCCCAACCCCCCACCCCCCCCCACCACCCCACCCCCCCCCCCCCCACCCCAACCCCCCAACCCCACCCCCCCCCACCCCCCCACCCCCAAACACCCCCCCCCCCCCCCCCACCACCCCCCACCAACCCCCCCAACCAACACCCCAACCCCCCAAAACCCCCCCACCCCAAACCCCCCCCAAAACACAACCCCACCCCCCACACCCCCACCCACACCCACCAAACCCCCCCCCCACACACCCCCCCCCACCCAACCCCCCCCACCAACCACCCCCCACCCACCCCAAACCAACACCAAAACCACCCCCCCCCAACCCACAAACCCACCCACCCACCCAACCCAACCCCCCCCCCAAACCCCAAAAAACTACCCCACACCACCACACACCAACCCCCCACACACACAACCCCAACCCCCCCCCACACCCCCCCCCCACCACCACCACCCACACACCACCCAACACACCCCAACACCACACCCCCCCACCACCCCCCCACCCCCACCCCCACCCACCCCAAAACACCCCCACCCCCCACCCCACCCACACCCACCCCCCCACCACCCCCCCCCCCCCCCCACCCCACCCCCCCCCACCACAAACCCCACCCACACACACCCACAACCCCCCCACACTCAAAAACCACCCTCCCACCAAACCCCCACCCACCAAACCCCACCACCATACCCACCCCACCAAACCCCCCCCACACCAACCCCCACCACCAAAACCCCCACACCAAACCCACCACCACCCACCACCAAACCACACCAAACCCCACACCAACACCCAACCAAACCCACCACCAAACCCCACCACCAAACCCACCACCAACCCCACCACCCCAACCCCACCACCAAACCCCACCACCAAACCCCACACCAAACCCCACCACAAAACAAACCAACCCACACACCCACCCCCCACACCCACACCAACCCACCCCCCCACACACCCCCCCCCCCCACCCACCCACAAACCACACCCCACCCCCACAACCCCCCCCCCCACAAACCCACACCCACACCCAACACACAACACCCAAAACACACCCACAACAACAACCCCACCACCACACAACCCACCCACACACACAAACAACAACCAACAACCAAAACCACAACACAAACCCAAACCCACACACCAACCACAAAACCCCAACACCCCAACCCCAAACCCCCCAAACCCCCTACCCCCCACCCCCAAACCCCCCAACCCCCAAACCCCCAACCCCCCCAACCCCCAACCCCCCAACCCCCCCACCCACCAACCCCCCCCCAACCCCCCAACCCCCCAACCCCCAACCCCACCACCATCCCCCCAACCCCCCACCCCCAACCCCCCCAAACCCCCAACCCCCCCCCCCTAACCCCCAACCCCCCAACCCCCAACCCCCACCCCCCAACCCCCAACCCCCAACCCCCCAACCCCCAAAACCCCAACCCCCATCCACCAACCCCCACCCCCAACCCCCAACACCCACCCCCCCCCCCCCACCCCCCCCCAACACACCCAAACCAACCAACCCCACACACCCCAACCCCCCCAAACACAACACCCCCCCCAACCCCCCACCACCCAAACACACCCACCACCACCAACACCCACCAACATAACAACCAATCCCACAACACACCCAAACACAACACACCCACACACAACCCAACCACACAACCACCCCCAATCCCCCCCACCCACACACCCCCCCCCAACCAAATCACACACACCCAAAACAAAAATCCCAAACAAAACACCCCCCCCCCCCACACCACACTAACCCAACACCAAAACCCCCCCCACACCCCCCCACAACAACAAACCCACCCACCACCCCCACAACACAACAAACAAAAAACACAACACACACAACAACCCCCACACCACCCACACTACACCCCCCACCCCCCCACCACCCCACCCCCCACCCCCCCCCCCACCCCCTCCCCAACCACCAACACACCCCATACAACCCCCCAACCCATACACACACCCCAAAACCCCAACCCACACCCAACACCCAACCAAAACCCCCCCCAACCACCCCCCCCCCCCCCCACCCCCTCCCCCCCCCACCACCCCAACCCAACACACACACCAACACAACAACCCACCCACTACACCCACACTCAACACCAAACATCACATAACCAAACCTAACCATATACTTCCCCAAACATTACCCTTTCTTTCCCTTCAACATCTACCCCCCCCTATCTCCCAACCCATTTCCCAACACCCCCCAACTACAATTCCCTTAATCACATCAACCACAACCCCTCATCTCCATTCCAAACAACCCAATATCTCTCCCACCCCCACACAACTCCACACCCCACCCCTTTAACTTCCCCTCTCCATTCTACCACCCCCCCCATTACCCAACCCCTCCTTTTCCCCATCCCCCACATTTTTTCAAATTCATCCATTATCCTTAACACCTCAATCCTAAACAAAACTCCTATAAATATTCTCTTACACACACATCCAACCATACCTCCCCCTCCCCACCCCCACCCCTATTCAAACTTTTCCCCCACCCACCAAACCCACCAACCCTCCAACAACTTCCCCCCCCACTACAATAAACTTAACACCAAATCCAACCTACAAAAAAACCCAAACCCCCCCCCAACACACCCTACAACAAACCCCAAAACAACAACCACAAAAACAAACACACAACACCATAAACACAACCAAAACCCAACCCCCCACCCACACACCCACCACCCCCACCAACAAACCACCACCAAACCAAACCCACCCAACCACACCCCCACAACCCAAACAAACACCACCCCCACACAAACACCAAAACAAACCCCACAACCAAACCCAAACCAACCAACCAACCCACCCCACCACCCCCCACCCCCCCCAACACCCCCACCAACCCCCCACCCCCCCCCCCCCAAACCACCCCACAACACCCCCCCCACCAAACCAACCCACACAACCACCCAAACCCTAACCAACCCAACCCAACAACAAAACCACAACCCCCCCACCCACCCCCCCAAACACCCCCCCAACCACCCCACAACCCCCCCCCACACCAAAACACCCAACACAACAAAAACACCCCACAACATAACAACCCACATACACCCCACACACCACCAACACCACCCACCACAACAACAACAAACACACCCCAAACCTAAAAACAACAAAACACACCCAACCCCCACACACCCCCCCCACCAAACCACCAACAAACACCCCCCCCACCCCCCCCCCCCACCAACCCACACCAACCCCTCCCCCCAACCCCAATCCCAAACACCAACATACCCCCAACAAAACACACCCACCACACCCACCCCCCACCACCACAACCCCCCCCAACACCCCCCAACCCCACCACCACAACACACACACCCCCCACCAAACCACCCCCCCCACCCAACCACAAAAACCCACAACCACAACCCCCCCCCCCCCCCACCCACCAACCCCCAACCACCAACCACACCACCACAACACCCCCCCAACACCCAAACCCCACCACCCCCCCCCCCCCCCACAAAAACCACCCCACACCACTAAAAAACACCACCCAAACACCCCACAACCACCAAACCCCCCCACACACCCACCACAAAAAACACACCTCAACCCCCCACAACCACCCAACCACCCCAACACCCACCCCCACACACCACCCACCAACCCCCCCCAACCCACCACACCCCCACCACAACCAACCCCCCCACCTCAAAACCTACACAACCACCACACCAACCACCCCCCCCCACCACCCACCCAAACCCCCCAACCCCAACAAACCACCCCCCACACCCCCACACACCCCCCCCACACACCCCACCCAAACCACACAAACCACAAACCCCCCACACCCACCCCACCAACCACAACCAACACACTAAACACACCCCACCAAAACACACACCCACCCCCCCCCCAAAAACACCCCAAAACCCACCCCACAACCTACCCCCCCCACCAAAACCATACACCCCACACACCCCCCCCCCACACCCCACCCCCCACCCCACCCCCCCACCCACACCCAACCAACCCCCCACCCCCAACCACCCCCACCCCAACCCCCCCCCACCCCAAAAAACCCAACACAACCCCCCCCACCACACCACAACCAAAAAACCACCACAACCACCCCAACCCACACCACCACCCCCCCAACACACCAACACCCACCACAACCCACCCCCAACCCACCCAACCCCCCCAACCCAAACCAAACCACCAAACACACCAAACCACAAACACACAACCCCCCCCCATACAATCCCCCCACCCCCACCAAACAAACCCCCCCCCCCCACAACCCCAACCCAAAACAAACCCAATACACAAACCCCAACAATAAACCCCCTCCCCAAAAAAATACACCCAATACTAAAACAAAACCCACACAAAAACACCACACCCCACTAACAACCAACAACCCACCAAAAAACCCAACAACACCATAACAACACACCCACCAAACACCCCACCCACCATTCCAACAATCAACCAAACCCATCAAAACCCCCCCAACCCAAACATAATCCATCAACCAACCCCCCCCTCCTCCCCCAACCAACCCAACCATACAAAACCCCCACCCCACCCCCACCCAACACCACCCCCCCCCCCCACCCCCACCCCCCCCCCCCATAACCAAACACACCCCACATCAACACCCCCCACCCAACACCCAACCCCCCCCACCCCAAACCCCCCAACACACACATCCATACCCCCCCCTACCCCCCTTACCCCCCCCCCCCCTATAACTCAATATCAAATAAAACAAATATAACTATAAATCCACATAAAAAATAAAAATAAAAATATCTATATATATAACATATAACAAAACAACCCTCACACCCCCCCCCCCCAAACCCCTACACACCCCCCCAACCCCCCACAACAACCCTAATCCATACAAACCCCCATCACCCCCATCTAACCCCCCATAACCCCCTAACACATACAACCCCCATATCTACCCAAACCCCACACAACCCCCCCACCCACCCTCCAACCCTCACCATCCCCCACCCCACAACTCCAACAAAACCAACAAACAACAACACAAACAACTACCCCCCCTACACCCAACCCCCACCCACCAAACCCCCCCCCCCCCCAAAACCCCCCCCACCCCCACCCACACCCCCCCCCACCACACCCCCACCCCAACCCCCATCCCACAACCAAACCCCAACACCACCCACACCCCACCCAATATCACCCCCCCACAACAACCACCCCAACCCCCAACCCCCACCACAAAACAAACACCACACAACCACACACACCACACACACCCCAACACACCACACACAACCACAACACCCACACATCACTACCACACACACCCATCTCACTCACCCACACTCACCACACAAACACCTACAACCCCCACACACACCCCCCACACACACCACACACACCACAACACACACACACACCCCAACACACCCCACACACACCACCCCCACACACACCCACACACACCCACACACACAACCACACCACAAACCCCAACAACACCCATAAACACCAACACACACACCACACACACACCCTCAACACCCATCACCCTACACTCCAACAACCCACATCACACATACCACACACACCCCTACAACACTCCACTCTCTCACCCCCTCTCTATCCCATATCATCACACACACACACATTCAAACCCCCTACTCACACACCCCCCCAACACAACACACACCCACACTACCTACCCACACACACACCACAAACCCCCCCCAACCCCCCCCACCCCACCAACACCAACCCACAAAACACCACACCACACAAAACCACAAAAAACCCCCACAAACAACAAAAAACCCCACACAAACCCAAAAACCCAACCCCCACACACCAAACCCCCACACCCCACCCACCCCACCACACCAACCCCCCACTCCCCCCCCAACCCTCCCCACCCCCCCCACCACAACCCCCCCACCAACCACCCCCACCCCAAAACCCACCCCCCCCCCCCCCCAAACACAACCCCACAAACCCCACACCAAACACCACCCCCAACCACAACAAACCAACCACAAACCAACCCAACACAACCACCACACAACCACAAACACACCACAAAAACACCCCCAACACAAACAACACCACAACAAAAACACCAACCAAAAACACCCAACCACAACACCAACCACCAAAAACCACCAACCACAAACACCACAACCACAACACCAACCAACAAACCACCACCACCACCACACCACCACCCCCAAACCAAAACACACCAACCCACACCACACCCCCCAACCACAAAACCACAAACCAAAAACACCACCAACCACACACCACCAAACCAACCACACCCAACCACACCACCACACCACCACCAACCACAACCAACCCCCCCCCACCCCCCACCCCCCCCCCCCCACCACCCCACCCCCCCCCCCCCCCCCCCCCCCCACCACCCACCCCCCCCCACCCCCCCCCACCACCCACCACCCCCCCACCCAACCCCCACCCCCCCCCCACCCACCCCCCACCCACCCCCACCCCACCACCCCCCCCCACCACCCCCCAAAAAACAAACCACCCCACCAAAACACAACACCCACACCCAACACAAAAAACAAACACCACCACCCCCACCACCCCCCCCACCCACCCCCACCAACCCCCACACCCCCAACACACCCCCAACCACACCAACAACACAAACCACCCCCCCACAAACAACCCCAACACCACCCCCCACCCAAACAAAACACACCACCACCAACCCCCCCCCCCCCCCCCCACAAACAAACCAAACCCCCCAACCACACCCCCCACCCCCCCAACCCACCCACCAAAACACCAAACACACACCCCCCCACCCACACACAACCAACCCCCCCCCCCCCCCACCCCCCCCCCCCACCCAAAACACCACCCCCACCCCCACCCCCACAACCCCCCACCCCACACACAACCCCACCCCCCCCCCACCCCCCCCCCCCAACCCACCCACCACCCCAACAACCCCACCCCCCCCCCCCCCCCCCCCACCCCACCCACAAACCCCCCACACACCCCACCACACACACACAACCCCCCCAACACCACACCCCCCCCCCCCCCCCCCCCCCCCCCCCCCCCCCCCAAACAAAAAACAACAACCACACACCACCCAACCACCCCCCCCCCCCCACCCACCACCAACCCACCCCAACACCCCCACCCCCAACCCCCCCCCACCCCCCCCCCCCCCCCCCACCACACCCCAACCCCCCCCCCACAAAACCCCACACCACCAACCCACCCCCCACCAACCCCCCCCCCCCCCCCCCCCCCCCCCCCCACCACAAAAACACCCCCACCAACCCCCCAAACCCCCCCACCACCACCCACACAACCCCCACCACCCCCACCACCCCCCACCACCCCACCCCCCACCCACCACACCCCACCACCCCCACCACCCCACCCACCCAAAACCCACCCAAAAACCCACACCCACCCCCAACCCCCAACAACAACCACACAACACCACCCCCAAACCCCAACCCCCCCCCCACCCCCCACCCCCCCCCCAACACACACACCCCCCCCCACCAACCAACACCACCCACCCCCCACAAACCCCCCCCCCCCAACACACCACCCCAACCACACACAACCACCCCCCCCCACCAACCACACCCCCCCACACAAAAAACCAACACACCCAACACCACACACACCACCCACCCCCCCACCCACCAACAACCCCCACCCACCCCCAACCCCCCACCCACACCCCCCCACCAACACACCCCCAACAACACAACCCCCCCCCACCCCCCCAACCCCCCACACCCACCCCCCCACCCCCCAACACCCACACACAACCACCCACAACCCAACCACCCCCACACCACCCCACACCCCACACACCCAACCAAACACCCCACCCCACCCCCCCACACACCACCCACCCCAAACAAACAAAACCCAACCACCCCACACAACCACCCCCCCCCCCCCCCCCCACAACAAACCCCACACCACCCCCCCCACAAACCCCCCCCACCCCCCCCCCCCCCCAACCACCACCACCACACACACCCCCCCCCCACCCCCCACCCCCCAACACCCACACACCCCCACCAACCAAACCCACCCACCCCCCACAAACCCCCCCCCCCCCCAAACACCACCCACACCAACACAACACCCCAACCACCCAACCCCCACAAACAAACACACCAACCCCAACCCCCCCACACAACCACCCCCAACCCCCAACCAACAACCACCACCCCCCCCACCACCCCCCCCCACCAACCCCCACCCACCCACCAAACACCCCACAACCACCACACCAACCACACCCCCCCCCCCCCCCCCAAACCCCACCCCACCCACCCAAAACCCCCACCCCACCCCCCACCCCCCCCCCCCCCACACCACCACAACCCCCACCACACCCAAACCCAAACCCCCACCCACACCCCACCCACACCACCACCAACAACAAAACCAACACCCCAAAAACCACCCCCCCCCCCCCCCACCACACACCCACAACCCCCCCAAACAACCCCCCCCACCCCCCCAACCCCCCCCCCCCACCCAACCCCAAAACCCCCACCCAACCCCCACACCCCCCACCCACAACCCCCCCAAAACACCCCCAACACCACCCCCAACACACCCCCCCCCCCCACCCCCAACCCCCCCAACCCCCCACCCCACCCCCAACCACACCCAACCCACCCTCCCCAAAAACCCCCCAACCCCCACCCCCCCCCACCCCCCCACCCCCCCCCCCCCCCCCCCCCCACCACACCCACCACCACCCCACCCCCCCCCCCCCCCCCCCCCCCCCCCACCACACACCCCACAAACCCAACCCCAAAAAACCCCCCCCACAACCCACCCCCCCCACCCCACCCCCCAAACAACACCAAACCCAAACACACCAACCACACACCCAACCCCCAAACCCACCCAACCACCACCAACCCCCCCCCCCCCCCCACCCCAAACACAAACACCCACACCCACACACACCCCCAAAACCAACCCCACCACACCCAACACCCCCACCCCCCACACCCACCACACCACCCCCCACCCACACACCCCACCCACAACCCCCCCCCAACCCCCCACCCCCCCCACCACCCCACCCCCCCCCCCCCACCCCAACCCCCCCAACCCCACCACCACCAACCCCCCCCCCCCCCAAACACCCCCCCCACCCCCCCCACCACCCCCAACACCACCCCCACAACCACAACACCCCAACCCCCCCAAACCCCCCCCCACCCCAAAACCCCCCCAATCATCAACCCCCACCCCCCCACACCCCCCACCACACCACCCACACACCCCCCCCCCCCCACACACCACCCCCACCCAACCCCCCACCACCAAACACCCACACAAACCCCCCCCCCACAACCCCAACACCCAATCCCCCACCCCCCACCAACCCACTCAACCACCCAACCCAACCACAAAACCCCCCAACAAACCCCCCAAAATACAACCCCCACACCTCCAAACAACCCCCAACAACCCAACCCCCCCCCCAACCCCCCCCACCACACCCACCACCCCAACACACACCACCCACCCCACAACCCCCCACCACCCCCCCCACACCCACCCCCAACACACAAAACACCCCCACCCCCCCACCCCACCCAACCCACCCCCACCACCCCCCCCCCCCCCACCCCCACCCCCCCCACCACCAAACCCCACCCAACAAACCACCAACCCCCCACCCACCAAACCCCACCACCAAACCCACCACCAAACCACACCAAACACCACCCACAAACCCCACCACCAACCCCACCCACAACAAACCCCCACCCCCCAACAAACCAACACCAAACCCCCACAAACCACACCAACCCCACACCACTAACCCCCCACCACCAAACCCCAACCCCAACCAACCCACCACCAAACCCACCACAACCCCACCACCACACCACACCAAACCCCACCACCAAACCCCACACCAAACACACACACAACCACCAACCCACACACCCACCACCCACCCCACACCAACCAACCCCCCACCACACCCCCCCCCAACCCACCCCCACACCACACCCACCCCACAACCCCCCCCCCCCACCCAAACCCACACCCACACCCACAACCCAAACCCCAACAACACCCCACCCCACAAACCCCAACAACCCCACCACACACACCCAACCCCACACACACAACAAAACACAACCAACACAACCAAACACCAACACAACCCAACCCACAAACACACCCACACACACCCCCAACCCCCCAACCCCCAACCCCCCAACCCACACAACCCCCACAACACCTCATGCTGCTAACATGTACAGTAGTATCTATGCTGCTAATAAATCTGATGATAGTCGAGCAGTCAAAATGACGGCTCGGAGAGAACTCTGGGAATTGTTAATGATAATGTCTTGTGAGAGTTACGTGAGACTGGAGTGTGTGTGTGTTTGTGTGTGGGGGGGTGTATATGTGTGTGTGTGTGTGTGTGGGGGGGGGGGGGGTGTATATGTGTGTTTACAAGCCCAGCACATGGTTGCTGGGATAGCCTGTGATAAATAAGATGGAGGAGAGTGGTGATGATGATTGAGGTGACGTGTGCCCCTTAAGCCAGATGTGTGTGTGTGTGTGCGTGTGTGTGCGTGTGTGTGTGTGTGTGTGTGTGTGTGTGCGTGTGTGTGCGTGAGTGTGTGTGTGTGCGCATGTGGAAGACAATGCTCCAGAGATCAACAGTTACAACAACGACTTGACTCACCATCTATTTTTACACACACACAGTGAATCAATTAGTTCAGGCATGTCCAAACCAAGGCCCACGGACCATTCGTGGCCCTCTGTGCAGTTTTGTACGGCCCTCTGTCTTGCTAACACAAAGTACCATAGACGCAAATTCATACAGTCATCCAGGCAACTTTAGCTCTGCCAGTGTACACATGTTGGTAGCTGTTTATTTCATATGTGATATACTGCAGTGTATTTTCATTTTCAATATATTTTGTATTGAACTTCTGCAATGAGCCCTAACCAGGTACACATTAATATCGCCTTGTTGTGTGTTGGTTGCTAGGATACAGGTCGCCAGATACTAAAGCGTAATGGAAACGCAACCAGATAGAGTAGAGCCAGATATTGAAGTTGAATCTGTAGCACTTTAAGATTTTGTGTAAATGTAAGTTGCATTATCAATAAAATGTATTATTATGATTATTATTATTATTATGTTATACCCGTCATCATTGAGAAGCTAAAGATCTCTGGATATCCGTTGTTGACTTATAAGACTGAATTGTTTTTGATTGTATGGCCCTAATGTAACTTTAGCTCTGTCAAATATAAACCAAAACATACATGTCATACCTCATTTTAAACCTCCGTATTGTCGACCCCTGGACACTGTTGCTTAACTAAAATATTACTAAAAATATCATACAACATTCGTCGACTCGCTCCCTAAGGCCCAAATATCCGACGTGTTTGTTATTAGAGTATTTCATGTGTTTGAGCTGTTTGATTCTCGGATCTCTCGTTGGCAAATCGACAACTTCGTGTAGTCCTATGAGACGACTGCTGTTTATGTTTAGGGCTGTGCAAAAATGAGTTGAACTGAATTGAATTAATATTGCCCTTTCATTAGTTTTTACATTTTAATTCTAAGTTGTTCCGATAATGTGATAATATACGTTTCCCCACAACAGATACACAATTTTTACAATATTAACAGGGTAAAAAAGTAAAACAATATATGTAGTTTTCATACTTACAACCATTCCGTTCAGGGACACCCAGCAGTCCGGGGGGAACTCTTGGAGGAGAGGCACCAAATACTGGAGACAGCCATCCCAGTGACATAGCAGCAGCATCATCCCTATCAAATTAAATATTCTTACCACAGCACTAGCCAGGTCATAGGTCATATGGAAAATCTGTGGACACAAAGAAGAAGAGAGAGAGATGGATCAGACCAAATGTGTATTTACATTACCCTGTAGCACAATGCAATATATACTGTAAACTGAAAAATTAAAAACAACATAAACATTAAAAACATTTATCTTGATTTGAAGACATTTTGACTTGGCCTTTAAACAAGATTTGCCAATGGGACGACGCAAAACCATCTTGTTTTTAAAAAGGTTCAAGAAATGTTGGCAAATCTTGTTTTAAGACGGTTATAATGTAGAAAAATATAGATTAAAAAAACACTTGATTTAAGCGATTTTTACCTCATATTTGATCAGTTTTTGCAGTGTATCAAACCATTGCAGCAATATGGTAAAAAACACATCTCACTGGTCCGTGTTGGTGAACTGGGCTCTAACAAACGGACAAAACACAGCGACATACTGCGGCCGGCGATTGGTTTCTTTCATTTATACATTTACATCCACAAACTACTGTGCTCATTTTTAATTCATTGGAATGATTATGAATAGTTAAAAGCCATTTGCGAGACGGTTACAGGAGAATTGTAACCACAGAATGTTTAATGCCATGACGAAAATATACATATGAGGGAAGTCTCCGAAGAGAAAAGTGGTATTTATCTTAATCATTATGTTTTATTCACGCAATACAATATTTATGGATCAAATCGTCCGAACAATAATCCATTTTGAATAAGTTTATCAAATATTTATCAACCAACAGTCATTTCAGATAAAGCCACCCAGACTTCACTCAGTCCGACCTCAGGATAGGACCCTCTTGCTGTGAGACATGAGTGCTTGACCGCAGGAGCACACAAGAGAAAAGTTAAAAATATGAACGGACAGAAAGACATTTCTGTATTTCTTTAGAATCAGTGAGAGAAGCACAAATAGCTAGGCGTGTACAAAAACTGGACATGTGCGATAGACGTGTAGGAGTAGGGCTAAAAAAAAGAAAAGTCACAATTTTAACTAAAAAAAATGTAAAATCGAAATCCATTCATGTTTTTGTCCCTCTCTGGTTGACATAACACTGACAATAAATCACAAAACTCTAAAAGCTTTTGGTCGAGTCAATCTTAAGTTCAGAACAGTCCAGTCTGAACCTGGAGACCTGAGGAAATGGGTGCAGTGTTGTGTGCTCCTGCTTGGTTGGGATGAAAACCTACAGCTACACCTGCCCTTTCTGCAACTCGTTTGACATCCCTGACCTATTTGTTCAAGCAAATATAAATAGAAGAAGTAGAATCCCAAATGGCCCAATGTCGTGCTTTGCCTGCAGCATTTGTCCCCAACATTAAAAAGATTAAGACGAAGAGGTCCTGTATTCGAGTACGACATCTCTAGCTCTAGCATGATAAAGCAGCAAGTATAACATTGTTAGCTTTAGCATAATAAAACAAGAATGAGGTATACAATGAATGACTTTTACATAATAAAGAAACTAGAATTAAGTATAAAACCTTTAAAAAAACATTAAAAAACCACTGATAAATCATGAATTATCGCAGTCTGTGAACATATCCTCCCGATCTCCATAAAACGTCCTCATCTTCTCCCACCTCGATTACGGCAGGGAGCACATCACCCCTGTGTTAGCGTCCCTCCACTGGCTCCCTGTGCGTTTTAGAATTGATTTTAAGATTTTACTGATTACTTTTAAAGCTCGTTTAGGTCTGGCACTCAGCTATATTTATGAACTTTTAACCCCCTACGAGTCCCTTCCCCCGCAGCCTCAGACCCTCGGGCAGGTCCCTGTGACTGGTCCAAGGTCGAGGCTCCGGACTAAAGGAGACCGAGCCTTCTCTGTCCGGGCTCCTCGGCTTTGGAACCACTTGCCCGAGGAGATAAGGCTAACACCATCAGTATCTTCTTTTAAATCACTTCTAAAAACCCACTTTTGTCAAACAGCTTTTAACTGTTAGTTTTAGACTTCTCATGTTGTATTTTAATGTCTGCTTTGTCTCTGTTGTGTCTCTCTTCTTGTGTTTTGCTCTGTCTGCTTTGTTTTCCTGTATCTATTCTATCTAATTATTTTGACTTTGTATTATGACTGTTTTAATGTATATTTTGCTGACTGTGCAGCGCTTTGTAAACATTGTTTTTTAAAGTGCCATGCAAACAAAGATTTTTATTATATTATTATAATATTCAAACCAGCCGTGTCTCAAACGCCGGTGCCTTAAAAGTACTTTGAATGAACACGTCTCCAGCCACGAGGCTCATTGCCGCTGGACTCTAACCTGTTCTGCACAAAAGACTTTAGTCCGACCACAAAGAGGCAACGCAGCAGTTCGTGTGCAGCTCGTGTGCAGCTCCAGGACGTCCAGAGCTCGACCCTGAAGCTAAATTTAGAGGCGGCTTACAGGATGGCTGTCTCCCTCCTCCTCTCCTGCCCCATTATCATTAGTGCAGTCAAGGCCTTTCCCTGCTCCTCGCTCCAAGTGCAAGTCCACTAAGAGAAAACCAAATGGAATATGAAATAAAATATAACTGTGTCTATGTGCCGTGGGATTACACTGCACAAAATGATACAATATTGGATAAAAATGGTCGAATACAGTGGTTTTTTATCTTAATCTGAGAACATTCTGACTGCGTTAAAACATGATTTTTCAATGAGACAAAGCCGTTTAGTCTTAGTTCAAGAACTGTTGCTTCATTTTATAATTCCAAGGGAGACATTTCTTGCATCTTTTTAAAACAAGATAATTTTTTGCTTTGTCCTATTGGAAAATCTTGTTTTAAGGCTCAGTCAGAATGTGCTCAAATTATGATACATTTAGTCAAATTTGCGCAATTTTGGACATTTTTCATGACTTTTTGCAGTGCAGAGCTTGATAGACCACTTCATGAGAAATTCTATTAGTTTGTGCATGGAATTTTGATTAATAAAGAAAAAAAATTGTAAATCTCTGAGATCTATTGTTAAAACATATTATGAAGGTGGATTATCTAAAAAAAAATCTGAATACATGCAACTGAAAGATTTTATTTTCAGAGATTTTGTATTATTTAAAATCCTGTATTGGTTCTCTCTTGTATTGTTCAGCACTTTGAGTTGCCTTGTGTGTTATCTGTGCTACACTTGACTAAATTCTCTCATCAATAGTCAAAATCTCAGTCAAAGTCTTAGTTTTAGGACCAGACTCTCCTTTTTTTTTTTTTTAAATCAATACAAAACCGGCAAAAGAAACCCAAAAAACAATCAAATAAACGGTGTAGAAAATAGAGTATCTCTGTGACTGTGTGGAAAACATCAGCGTCATGTCACATTTCCAGGAACTTTGCCCGTGAGACCTTGGGGTCAAACTGAGTCAGAGGCTACACAGAAAACACTGATTATTCAGTTTGAGAGCAACAGTCACTGAGGAGAAAAGATCCAGGCCTTTTACGACAAGATGTACAAGAACCAGGACTGAAAACACAGATTGTCAGTCAAGCTGCACACGGAGACAGACCAGGAACTTTAGCACTGTCTTCACTGTAGTCTGTTCATTGCTATTCACCCAGTGTCGGATTGTCGGTTTCATGGCGTGATGATGGGACCCCTGAACCTACTTACTTACGATAACACACTTTAGTCACCTGACCTTGAAACCACAGTTGGAATCCCATCACTGGTTCGCACATGTATTTTCGCCCTCTGTCAAGCCCTCACCTTCATCAAAAAAGTTTCAGCTCTCAGCCCAAAGCATCAAATAGCGACTCACAGGGTATGAAAAGGTTAAGGAGAGTATTTTGGAATTGCAGACAGACTGTCTCTTCCAAACTCTTTCTGTTGGGTCTCTCTCTGGTCGCTCTCTCTGGTCGCTCTCTGTGGTCTCTCTCTCTGGTCTCTCTCTCTGGTCTCTCTCCCTGGTCTCTCTCTCTGGTCTCTCTCTCTGGTCTCTCTCTCTGGTCTCTCTCTCTCTCTGGTCTCTCTCTCTGGTCTCTCTCTCTGGTCTCTCTCTCTGGTCTCTCTCTCTGGTCTCTCTGTGGTCTCTCTCTCTGGTCTCTCTCCCTGGTCTCTCTCTCTGGTCTCTCTCTCTGGTCTCTCTCTCTGGTCTCTCTCTCTGGTCACTCTCTGGTCTCTCTCTCTGGTCTCTCTCCTGGTCTCTCTCTCTGGTCTTCTCTCTCTGGTCTCTCTCTCTGGTCTTCTCTCTGGTCTCTCTCTCTGGTCTCTCTCTCTGGTCTCTCTCTCTCTCTGGTCTCTCTCTCTGGTCTCTCTCTCTGGTCTCTCTCTCTGGTCTCTCTGGTCTCTCTCTGGTCTCTCTCCTGGTCTCTCTCTCAGGTCTCTCTCTCTGGTCTCTCTCTCCTGGTCTCTCTCTCTGGTCTCTCTTGCTGGTCTCTCTCTCTGGTCTCTCTCTGGTCACTCTCTCTAGTCTCTCTCTCTGGTCTCTCTCTGGTCTCTCTCTGGTCTCTCTCTCTGGCCTCTCTCTGGCCTCTCTCTGGTCTCTCTCTGGTCTCTCTCTGGTCTCTCTCTCAGGTCTCTCTCTCTGGTCTCTCTCTGGTCTCTCTCTGGTCTCTCTCCCTGGTCTCTCTCTCAGGTCTCTCTCTCAGGTCTCTCTCTCTGGTCTCTCTCTCTGGTCTCTCTCTGGTCTCTCTCCGGTCTCTCGCTCTGGTCTCTAGCGAGCTCCACTTCCTCTGGGCTGAAGATGGAACTCCGGAATCCAGTGACCAGCAACGGGAAAACCAGAGACGCCGTGGAGATCTGCGCAATTCGGAATGAGGGAGGGGCCAGAGGAAGACCAGGAAGACCCCCTCATTCCTTCTGTTCTGTAACCTGCGATACAACACTGAAAGTTGATCACCTAAAATGCAGCCCGCGGAAATTCAATTTAGAAGACGTCAGCCAAAAGCTACCCCCTCCGGGCCGACTCGCATCCCCAGCCTATCGCACAGCAAACGCCCCCTTCCAATCATCCGTGCCGGACAGGCCAGCCGCTTAAAAGCGGAGAAACTCCCACTTACGGCCTCCGGAAGCCTCGCAACCACCGCCTCCCCTC